CTAGGATCTTATTTTAATCAGATTGTCGTAATCCGTCATCCGTGAGCAGCTATTTTGATCCACCTGGACATCTCAGTATTCTAGTTACCTCGGGCATGCGCATTCGCATTTTTCTGACTCATAGTTGCTGTCGACATAGGAAGTAAAGTAAGCAAATAACACCGAATAAACGGCAAGGTAAAGACTATGTCTAATTATAGTAAATACGTACTGCGTGCGTGACTCGAACCGGCGCTCGCGTACGGCACCTAGCTTCACGCCACTACACGTCTTCCCCTCGGCCACCGGGCATCCCCAATAAAGGATGCTTAATAACCGAGCTTATTACGTGCAGAGAACGTGAAACCCGTCCACGCGATACGCGCCACACAGCATGGCCAGAATGCGGCAAAGGCCTTCAGATCTGGCTGTAGTAGGATGGTGAAAGTAATGGTACAGCATTTTAACAGTGAATAAGTACTGAGAAATAATTTTTAAACTCATAGTTGCTGTCGACATAGGAAGTAAAGTAAGCAAATAACACCGAATAAACGGCAAGGTAAAGACTATGTCTAATTATAGTAAATACGTACTGCGTGCGCATTTTTCTGAGTTGGAACGCTTATGCGAGAGCGAGATTGAAACGGGATCTTGGTATCATGTCACCATAGTTGCAAACCCCAAGTAATGTATCTCTGATATGATGAAGAAAGTTCTAGCAAACTGTTGAAATAATTTAAGCCTGACAACATATGATTTTCTGACAGTATTCTGTTTACATACATGTGGATCCGGAAAATTAAAAGTAAATTTTTATCTGTGAAACATGTTTTTTTTTTTTTCAAAGAATACATCCGAACGGTATACATGTATTAATGTCAATAAACATCTAATTCGTGGTTTGAGACCTATATAGTTGCTGCGTTTATATATGCAAATCTATGACGTCAACGGTTACTGAGGTAATGGAGAAAGCTTTCAATGGCCGCCCACAGCGGTTCGAAGATTGCATGATAGCGAAACTCTCGGATCAAATAGCGTAAGTATCGTGTTGTCTTGACTGGTAATACTATATATCTGATTCTTGTATCGGTACTCTGGGAACTGTTTTATTTTCTCGATGTTTTGCAAGCGTCTTCGGAAATCAACCTCCTTTTCAAACGAGCTTGTGCAAGATACGATCGACAGCGATTGTGATGTCTTACAAATATCGAGTGTTTACATAAAAAACCGCGCCATTGTAAGTAACACTATCGTTCGAGATAGCTGACGTGTTAATTTAGTGGTTGGTAAGTACCGAAGTACCATCCCGAATGTTGAGTGACTATGTCGTGTTTTATATAGCATTAGAAATACAACATTCGTTCGGGAGACTGCGTGAGTTGCGGAAACCATGGACGTCCATGCGGAAACAAACCCTTTTTAAGTAGTCTGTCATAATGGCGTCGTCTTTGTACACCCTTGGTACAACGCACAGGTGTCCTACCTTGCAGGGTGTTCTGTAACTTTATATTTATTTATATATTTATTTTGTACGTTGTCTTTTAATTCACACAGAGAATATTTGACAAACAGAAATGGGATATTTACGTTAGTTATATTCGTCCCGTAGACTTTGTAAATAAATTGACATTTGTAGGTAAAGATATACTAGGACACAGTCCCTCTATCATAGATAGAGGGACTGTGACTAGGATTTTTAGCTCTATGCTTGAGAAAGAACTATTTAACATAAAAATAGAAAAAAACATTCTAGTATTCACTGTCTTTTAGGCTTGCGTTGCCTTGCCCAATGTGACGGTGTAATGTGCCCGACAACAGAACGGATGTTATAGGTATCTTGAGTCAAAATGAAATTTTGTTTGTTGTTGTATCAGCTCGTTGTTTATTGGGGAGTGAAGTAAAAATAAAAAAATGATTGTATGTTGGTGTAGGTAACTTCTAATGTTGCAAACTAAATTGTTGTTGTTTCTGATTTTTGTGTATAGTTTATTTATAAGACCACTTTATCAATTTTTTTATGTATGATTATCTTTTGCCGTGTTCTCATCAGGAATCAAGTATGTGGGTTGGTATTGTTTATAATCTATGAGGCAATTACCCATCTATGCGGAACTAGAGACAAAAATTAACTATTTTGTTCCCCTTATAATGGAGACAGTGTATTCAAATGTTTGTTATGATTGAATTTTATTATACACTTATGTCAATTGTATTTTCATACATTTTGTGAGACAATTTGTCTCATGAGAGTCATAAAAAATTGGGACAAAAATTTAAACCATGAGGCAAATGTTTCATTATGCTGATTATGCTAACTCCTGCAAATGTACCAAGGAGTTAGCATAATTAGTTGCATCAAGAAAACATTGGATTAGAGGTTAGAGGGTGCACTGGTCCACATGGACATCTATGTCTTTCATTTAACATTCACTTTAGACAGGTAGATATTCTTGACCCATCCTAATGTATTTTACCACACACTGCAAAGTCGTATGCCCATGTACAGTTGTGCTTAACACATTGTCTGGTGAAAGGCTTGCCAAAATCAATGGGAAACGATTTTCAAAATGCTGTGATGGTTTACACCTCAAAATAATGGTATCTTCTGAGACAAGCTTGAATGAGTTTGTTTTTGAGATACTTTTACTTCATTATACTTGATCATCATCAAATGTGTTTAGCACATTAAATGGAAATACCCCAAAATACTTTCATATTTTTTGAATGTCAGGCAATGTTTGATGTCACTATGACCTTTGCTTTATCTGTTTTGATGTTCAATTCACGGTAACACATAACACAAGATCTTGCGGTGAACAAAAAATGGTCTAAAAAGCGGGCATCGAACGCTTGTCTGAACATTGAAAACTGACGCACTACATATTTGTTTGAACGCTATGCGAGATAATAGCGATATGTCATTATGGTTACCGTAGTCACAAATACAAATATCTGATGAGGTGTAATATTATTTTTAAATAACTTATTATTTTATTTGTATTTAGGTTTTAAAGATTGGTGTAACCACACTCTTCCACCAGAATGGCTGATTCAGAGAATACCAAGATAAAATCCAAAACCAAAGCTTCTAAAGTCACAAAAAGAAAATCTCAAGGTAAACACGTATTATTTGTGAAAATGACATCTCTCAACGAAAATACATTTGTCAGATATACATGTACATGTATTATAAGGGTATATAATGTTTGTTTCCATGATCTTGGTTTGAAAAATACGCTTGCCTGATGCCAGTGGCCATTGATTCACATGACGAGCCTACCACTAACAATACAGTGTTACTGAGCTTCAAGGTTGTAGCAAGAAAATGAAAAGTGCCTGTCTGAAATCTATATTGACTTATACCACATTTTTGGGTTGTTTATATATGACTATTTTGTAAAAACTGGAAATTTTCAATCAAAAGTTGGCAGGTTTGTATGAATTTATCCTGTCAAATGAAATTTTGTATCTGTTTAAAATGACAGGAAAGCCCGCTGGACTTGAACTTTGAAGTTGTGAGGGCACTCATTTTCATAGCAAAACATTTTTGCCAATGCAGTGCACATTTAATATGTGCAAGGCTTCATGTATTTTGATTCCTGGTGTTCCATGTACATGAAATATCATTGACTAGCTATTCTATTGATGTTTGAATGGATGTGAGGATTGTGTTTATGTCGGTCGTACATGAATATCCATTGTGAAAAGTTAATTTTGCTGTTTTTTGATCAGTCACAGACTATTTAAAGTTTACAACAAAGTTAGTAGTCTGAATCATATCAGTAACAAAATGTCACCAACAAAAACTTTTAGATGAAATGTGATCACCATAGAAACCAATGCAATAAACAAAGATATACCGGTAATGAAAATTTACAAATCATCATGAAAACTCTTATTTCTTCATAAACATTCTGGTGACCCCAATATTTTTTTCGTGGTGTCTTGACGGCATGGACTCTGTAACTATGTAAAATTGACCATATATGTTCTATTAGTAGCTGTTTCCGGTCATAATGAATCTTAATTTTAATGATTCTGTATGTACTAAATTCAATTCTTGTGCACTTTGAATTTTATTTCCATATCTAGAGAAAGATCATGTAGAAGCTGCAGAAGAAGCAAAGCCAGAGGAAACTCTGAAAGTAGAAAATATGGAAGAGGAGCTTGAGACGATTGATAAAGGTAAGATCCTTGTACCCTCATTTGTTTAGATATCACAAGATTATTAATCTATAATCTACTCACTAAGTATAAGTATTTTAGGCAATAAAAATTGGCGATATCCAAATTTGTTTCTGTGCAAATGATGCATTTATGATTTCATCATATAGCGTTAAAACTTAATTAAGTGGCCATTTTGGATTGGAAAATAGGCAAAATACTTACAATTGGTGTTCATAATTCACATTTTGTAAATTGCCCCACCTCGTAAAGTTTCAGGACATCCCTTTTCCCAAAAGTGTTCTACCGAAGGCCAGCCTGAAACAAAACTAACACAATGTTGACTATCTCATGAAAACATCAATATAGTAAATTCCTACACATATGTACATCATGTCTAGCTCTATTTCTTTGTTCTAATGATTGTATGCATAAATACAAATTAATTTCATGAATATAAATGTTGTTAATTAATTTTTCAGTGAATACATCAGACAGTGTTGCCGTTAACATTGATGACAATGTCAGCAAGTCCACTACATTCAGTGGAGGTAAAACTGTTCATGGTAGGTGCTTACCATTCTCTTCATTGTATTGTATTACTTGTATATACGGTTACTGTAAAAGGGTTAATTATTAACTGGGTTTTAATTTCGCTGACTGAAAAATGCGCTAAATTAAAACCCAGTGAATATGATAAATTGAGCATAGGACACATTATCTAAATGATAAAACCGTGAATTTAATTCCCACCGAATATTCATGAAATGCTAATTTAAATCAGCGAAATTAGAACCCAGTGAAAATTAGTCATTTTACAGTATGTAAATTACAGAGGCGTTTCAAAATAAGTAATATTTAATTATTCAGCGTAGAACAAATGTGACTTTTGGTTTATATGCGATTCTGGAGATACACTTCTAATAGAGCAAATATGGTGTTGCCATTTTTTTGTTTATTTACCGTCTAAATTCCTAAAGAGTCAGAGAAAACTAAACTTTGCTTTCTTGAACACAAATTATTAATTCATCATAGTGGATTGTCAAGATATTTTTCCAAAGCAAAGCTATTGTAAGTGTATAACTTATTATATTTGCTTTATTGGTAGTGCATGCATTTATGTAAATGACTGGACAAAATAAATAGAATATTTTAATGTTCCTGCATACAATAAATGCTATTTTTAGTTTAAGTCCACTTTTATTGGAGTGGCACTTCTTATGGAACAAATACAGTATGATAATTTATCTTGTAATACATAGGGGTTATCATCAGAGTTTTAAAGTGCAAGCTCATGGCTCGGCTCCCAGTGTTAATTGTAACCTTTTAAACACTAAATGCTTTCTCAAAATACATCTTTGTAATTTTTTCCATATTTAAAGCGCGGGTGTCGTTGTGCATGCGTCAGATGGCCATAGCATGTAATTGTTTACAAACATGCATCTACCCATGAGCCTTTGCGTTTTTAGCATGTGTTGTTATCGTCGCTTGGGACTCAATTCCTACACGTGCGTGGGTGACGACCTTCCTACTTTAGATACAAAATTTAGAACTGTGTGTATATGGAAAATTATTCCTATTTTGTCCAAAATTAATAAAGAAATTATTGAAAATTACACAAAAACATTGCAAATGTTGCACAAAATTTTTTACGAGAAATATTTCAGCATTCAAGGGTTAAGCCTATATATATTATATGAGTCTTAGTAGTTATTGATCAATTTCTTGTTTCAATTATAGAAGACAAAGATGCAGGTACGACCACAGTCATTACCACCACATCTACCACAACATATGGATATGAAGAAAGAGACTTTGATAATATAGATCCTAAAGAATACGGCATTGACATTGAAGATGAACCTGAATATCAATATGGTATGTGTGTGAGACAGTCAGTTTAATCTTTTCACCACCACACTTTCTTGCTCAAATTTGTCTGTACTTTTTTCTTATATTTTTCAATATTTCTAGAAATGAACCCTAAATTTGGAGCCAACAGACAAAATCTGAGTCAATTTTCAGTTTTTACTAAAAAAATTTGCCTTTTTTGTCTCTGTCTTCTGAAGAAAAGTGCAGACTATCAAAAGGACTATTTTGTGAATTTGTGATGAAAAAGAGTGAACAGGTGGTGAAAAGGCTATATGCATTGTAAAATATGGTGTGATTTAAAATATTTTCTGATCTCAATCTTAACCCTTTCAATACAAGTTCATTTTTTCACCAACAATTCTGTGCAAATTTATTAATTTTTTCTGTGATTGTATGTAAATTTTTGTATCAACTAGGTAAGCCCATTCAAGGCTAAAAATTAATAGTAGAATAAGTCTCATGAACTACCAAATTTTTTCCAAAATTAGTAGCCTGAATTTACTAGAATTTATATTAGTACTTTGTTTTTTTAAATAAACCATTTTGTCTTCAAAACTATGGGCCTTCTACTCAAAATGAACAGTGTGACATGAGTTATAGACTTTTCTGCATGGCTCTAAGTACCCACTAAACCTGATGGTCTACCCAGTATTGTGACGGGGCTACCAGATTTTAAAATTGGAAGTTCAGTAGTCTTTCAAGAAAAGTTGTTAATTCCAAGCATTGCCATTGTTTTGTTTACCAACAGAATACTGTGGAATACTTATTTTCGCTTGGAATTAATTTTTGCTATTTTCGCTGAAGGAATGATTCAGTGAAAAGAAAATCCAGCGAATATACCTTTTTTCCTATCTTTTACATTCAACTCGCCAAAAATCAGTGAAAATAAATTCCATATAACACACCTAAAAAGTCTTTTCAGCGAAAATAAATTCCAGTGAAAATAAAGTATTTTACAGTAGTAAGTTTTTAGTGTAAAGTGAATAAAAGCGAAAACATAGTGAAACTATTTTGAACTTGCCCAACAGTTTTTACTCAATAGTAAACATAGCTGGTTTTGCGGTTCATAACCTTTGGGTGACCTTTAATGTGTTTTGATTGTGAAACAGAAACAAATAAAAGATGACTGCCATTGGCTAATAACATTTTGAATAATTTAATCATACAGAACCTCCTAAGACCGATGATCTACCAGACTTGTATAAGCTGATTGATTCACTTGAGAAAGGCGACACCGAATTGGAAGTGGACAGGGAACCGCCATTACTGTTTGCAAAACCTGAACATGAACCGCAGTATAAAAAAATTAAAGAGTTGACTTTGGAAATGGAAGATGAAGAAATTGATGCCTATGTGACTGACTTTGACACTGATATAAAAGACCAAGCAGTGATGATAGCTGATGTGTCATTAGAAGAAATACAAGTAAGTTAGGGGGTCAATAAACACAAGTAAGCTAAGGGGTCAATAAACACTAGAATAAATGCTAGTAAGCTCTCCTAGCAATAAACACTACATTGCAGATATTATTTTTCAAGGTGCTGTGAATTTTTTTAAAAATGATGATTTTTATGGCTAAGTTGTTTGTCTTTTGTATTTATAGGATCATGAACGGCGTTTGCGAGACGAACACATTTCATACCAGCAACAGGAGATGCTAGTAGCCAAAAGACGACATGAGGCCATCGCTATGAAAGAAGAAAAAGCCAAGAAGCGTATCATCACATTACTGAAAGAAAAAAAGAAAGAATTAGCCAAGCGTGAGGTGAGTGGGCATGCATGGTTACAAACTTAGTGAATAATTCACTTTCTACAGTACAATCAAAACTGTTGTTTGTATAGAGGTGAGGACGGAGTTTTGGAGGTGATTAGACTAACATTTTTTACTTCCTGAGTAAGAAAATTACACATATTTTTCATTTAATATTGTGCATAAACACTTATTGATATTCAGTATTGAGTTAATTTAAATACTGAGATTAAACTTTTGTTTTTTTCATTGTCAGGAACTGGCACTACAGCGTGAGAGACTGCAGCAAGATGCGTTACACAAGACATTCCGTAGATCAGAACACCAACTCCTGAGAGCTTTGGAGATCAGGAAAGGTGAAGTAAAGGTCAGTGTTCATTTGCTCTGAGTGCTTGTTTGTTTTTTCTTTTCAAGTATTGGCGATCCGCTCCGCTAGGATTGCCCTTATAATCACTTTTGTCGTTTTGTGTGTGTGTGTCTGTGTGTGTACATTTCTAGTGTTCCAGTGTTCACGTATTATTTCTTCTGTGATTTTTTTGGCTTGGCCGATTTCGTTCAAACTTGGCAGGTAGGTCACACCTTAACCCTAGTTATTAGGAAAAATCTGAAAATTTTTTTTGCCCCGCCGTTGCCATAGCAACAGCCAAAG